CACTAGGCCAGAAAAGAAAGGAGACAACTCTCGGCCAAACTCTTAACCGGTGAGGAGCGTATAATCCGTACAGTACTGCACGGAAAAATTGACCATTTTATCCACTACAATTGCATTGCTCAAATGTGCTGTTATTGGTACTATTTACTACTGAAAATATCAACGAGATGTTTATTTATATTTGAAGACATGTTAAAGGCTTTAACGCTTGTTTTCGACTCGCACTACTATTCATGATTGTACAAAACTTTTGGCAGGTACTGTATAAAAAAGTATGTTTAATAAACAAGAGTCGAGAATATAATGAGCTTCTTTCTCCCTACCTACAATTTTGCCAGCGCGCATCCAAGACATTGGAAAGGGCACATCGCTAGAGAAAGGAAATGAAGTATATATATGACAACAATGTATTAGGTTGAAATCGCGTATTTTGACTAAATAGTAAAATGTTTACAAATAACAAATTAACTAAGTTAAAATGATAAATACAACCTGACGTAACCTACCTACCCTTAACCCAACCTAACCAGAAAGAAGGAGAAACTGTTACACACCATAACCTAGCCTACACTATCTAACGTTTGTTTTGATCCCCATGTGAGACTTAAAATATGCGGCATTACGTAGATTTACAAATTTAATTTTTTTCACAGCTCCAAGGCTTTGCAGATTTGACTATTTGATATTAAGTTCAACTTGATACCTTCACGAGTTCGTGATTCTATAAGGGTTGCTTTTTTCTTTTGATGTACGAAACTCTAAAAGGAATGTGATCAGTGTGATAACAGTGAAGACAATATTTTCGGGACTTCATCAGCTATCATCTCCGTTTAGTAATTTTCAAAATATCCAATTTCGATTAACACACGCTCGATTTGGAGTTTTATAGTTTTGGGTTATTTCGATGATATTAAGATTTCAATTTTTACACGCAACTGAACATTCTCCATTCCAACAATTTATATATAAAATTGAAATGATAGCCAACTTATAAAGGGTTTCCTTTTTCTGGCACCAGCCCATTATCACTTCAGTTACGGTGTTCACGATCTTCACACCAAAATCCACAAGTCTCAACATGAAGAAAGAGACGGACATGTTGTTAAGGGTTCTTACTTTTTAGATGAACCTGACGGTACCAAACGTATTGTAGAATACGTGGCTGAACCTCACAGTGGATTCCAGGCTGTCGTCAAATGCTTTGAACATTCTCATCATCCTCAACATTACGGACATGGGCACAATCACGCTAACGACAAACATGATGGCGAAAACTACGTAGCAGCTGCTCATTGGGGACACCACTGATCAATTTTACTTGAATATGCCGAAAAGTTTGTAGTGATAGTACTCTATTGTTCCTTGTTATTATCCTTTTGTTTATATCGTTGAATTATTATTCTCATTTATCTGAATAAATTATATAAGAAATTCTACTCTCTTAAATGAATAGACATTTAAAGTAAATCTATTGAAATCGTAACATTCCCTTAACGGGTGTATCAGACATAAACTTCAAATACAGTAGGTGAATATAAAGAATATTAAATTAACAGTGAAGCAGCCACAAAAATTGACTTGTCCCAATGTATATGACAACAATGTATTAGGTTGAAACCAGGTGTTTTGACTAAAAATGGTAAAATATTTACAAATAACTGAAGTACAACCTAACCTAACCCAACCAAGGGTGGAACTTTAACACACCGTAACCTAACCTACACTATCTGACTTATGTTATGTAAGTTTGTGTTATGTTGGCTAGTGTAGGTTAGTTTACGGTGAGAGAAAGTTTCCTCACCCCTTGGGTGCTTTTCATATTGAGATATGAGATGAGTCTCATCCGGTCATCGATTGTCAATCAGGCAGTTATAACTTTCATAATAAAATTATTTAAAGACCCCTCCCCCGGAATTTTAAGTCATTTCGTACCTTCTCAATAATAAGCATAATTATTGCCAAACCCTCTACAATTTTTTATGCAACGACAAACAGTGCACTACTGGAACATTCACCTTCATTTTCTATACGCGAAACTTCATATTTTTGTGGACGCTAAGGTGATACAATTCGCCCCTTTTTCTTTTACAAGTAACTACATCGGTCGAAACAAGTTGGTGATGACGATTAAAAGCAATGAAAATTGTTAGTGTGTTCAAGTAGTCAAGAGAACGTTGTATCAAAAAGATGCGAAGAAAAATTATTTCTTTCTTTGTTATCACGTACCTTGGCCTTGAGCACGGAAGATGGACCGAGAGACTGCACCTGGACGGAGAATCTGCACCTACTTGAGCATCCACATGCGAAGTGGATAAAATTCATACATCGGACAAAAACGAAAAAATGCCGAAAAGTACAATTATTCCATATACAACACATTTTGTAAAAAGTCGCATACACCACTATAAAAGAAATCGACGCGTATTCCGCAAGCTGCAACACGTTCATTTTCTAACCTACGATAAAAAAGATACCGGCTTGATGATTCAACGAAGCTCATACTACACGACTAGTAGATCTAATAGATACATCGTTGTCATGGATACTAAGCAACTTGCGCAACGCTTGCGCTTTACATTGTTTTCGATAAAGAAGCTTGCCTACTATTAGATAGTGACTGTAGCACTTTGGGACCTATAAAAATAATTTAGTCATAAGGAATCGAAGGAGGAAGGTAATGGAAATGAAATCGAAAGTAGATGTGATAGAGAAAGAAAGGGAGCCTTAAAAATATTAAAAATAAATCAGGAACAGATGAGGGAATGGATCAGGGAAGAAAAGGGTTAAAAAATTGGTGGGAAATAGATGCAAGGAAATAATATAAGGAAAGGATTTAAGAATGTTTGGGAGGTACAATCGGAGACAAGAGTTTATAAAATTAGAAATTCGTGATTAATTAGGTTTTGCAGCATATCATGTGGTAAATAAATACTATCTACACTAAAAAAAAGTATACGGTTTGAGAGAAAATTTGGAATTCGACCAAAAACTTTGAATAAAATAAGAAATAACAAATAATATGGAAAATTTTTAACTGACTTTTGGCAGTGAATATGCCTTGATTTCAACTTCGAAACAAAAAAATATTTAGTTTCAATCTCTATTAATAATGAGCGTAAAACTTTTTAATATGTTTAAATAATAATTAAAACTTTAAAATTGCATTTCATTCAGACAATTATAAATA